ATGTAACCATTTTTTAGCCCCGAAGTTGTCTTATATACCAAATCAAAGCCTATCAGAAGGCGACAAATTTCGCATACTTTGCTCCATACAGAAGGGATCCCTTCCTCTGGAGTTCAAATGGTCTAAAGTTAATTACTTATCATTAGCTCCTAAACTGATTACTGTTGGGAAGTCTATCATAAGTCAAAGCGAAGGTACAAAGTTTCGTACTTTTTGCTCCATTCAAAAGGGATCCATTCCTCTGGAGTTCAAATGGTTTAAAAATAAGTCTGAATTAAAATCAGATAATAATCATAGGATAGAGACTTCTGAAGAGTTGTCGATCCTATCGATCGCAAGCGTACAGAGAAGTGATTCCGCAAACTATTCCTGTTTTGTTAGCAATACTTTTGGCAGAGATTCACAAACTGTTGTCCTTAGCGTCAAAGGTATCTAATCGTAACGTTTAGACAATTATTAACCGCAATATTATCTCCATTTGTGTCCAACAGTACCCCCGACTTGGCTTAAGGAACCTCAGGATATCCGCGTGAAGGCTGGCGACGATGTGGTGGTCGAGTGTTTGGCCGACGGTTTGCCCAAACCTACTGTCAAATGGATCAGCTCTAAAGGTATGGATATTTTAAAAATGGATATATTTTTTGCACAATTAATATATTTTCAAATTAATAGTTATTTAATTGTTTGAATCACAGGAAAGGTAACGACAGGAGAAGTGCTAAATCTGGCGAACTTCCGGACAGCCAGTAGTGAGACATATGAATGCATTGCCGACAACGGTATCGGAGATTCATTGAGAAAAACCATTAATGTCTTCTTCAGCGGTGAGTGTCTTAAGCTCTCAATTATTTTTTCTGTGCCTTTCATTTGAATTGTTGAGCAAAATGTGTCGCTTTTACAGTCAATTAAATTATATTTTATGTGGCCTTCAGTTATATTTAATTAAATTGAATTAAATTTATTGATTTTTTATACATTTAAAACATTAAACATGAGCTGATTTCCGATACAGACGTGCTTTAGATTGAAGTAAATTATATGTGAAAAATATTTTAAATCAAAGAGTTATATAAAAATGTTTGCCGCAAAATATATCGCGTTTATTATTTTAATGATCATTTTGGAGACAATAGAGAGCACAGGTAAATAAGTTACATAATGGTTAAACTACTGTATGTCATTGTAATTGTAATGGTCTATTTAGAACCACTAAGATTATCTCAAAAATCTCCACTAAAACAGCCAGATGAACCAGTGGTTCAGGGAAAACTATTTAAATTGACCTGTAGTGTAGAATCGGGAACTTTGCCCGTAAACTGGACGTGGTTTCGAAATGGTCAACAATTATCTAACTTATACAAGGATTACAGATTTGATGTTAGAATTGTTGATAACTATGCTCGTTCTTCAACACTTAATGCTTATTATATAAGTGATGAAAGTGAAGCCAACTATACCTGTGTGGCCACCAATGCGTCTGGATCTGATTCACAATCAATCATGTTAAAAGTAGAAATATTATCCAATTGGATTAATGAGCCCAACAATACGGTCGCCAAACTCGGCGACAGTGCGTCCATTGAGTGCTCGGCCGACGGATCGCCGCAACCGGTCATACAGTGGTGCAGAAGAGTTAGTTCCGAAACATGTTATAGGGTGATGGGTACTGAGAAAGATCAACATGGCGATACTAATATTTTTGTGTTTCGTGAGGTGAAGCCAATAAATGTTGGTTTATATGAATGTATTGTCACCCGGTCAATGTTTCCAATGTTTCCAATGATCCATGATATTTTGTTGAGAAAACAAATCTCATTCACTATTCCAAGTAATTTCTCTTAGATTTTAATTTTTGGACACATTTTATGCTCAAAACAATTCATTTTGTGATAAAGTTTTTGATAAATACAAGTATTTTGATAATAAATATCTACTTACTGTCAGTTCCGGCGAAGTTTGACGAGAAGTATAGTCTAATGCAAGTGAAGAGAGGAGAGAGCGCTCGACTCAAATGCAATGTTTCTGGAGATCAACCCCTGGCTATCAAATGGACTAAAGATAACGTTAAACTCGAAAAACTGGGCTCTCATTCGTAAGTCTCACACAAAGCCTTTGACAAAAAACTTAACTTTAATTTATTTGAAAAATAGTTATGAAATCTTTGAGACGACAACCGATTTCGGTCTTCTATCGGAGCTGTTGTTGAGGACAACCCAAAGGACTGACGGATCGATATATAAATGCGAGGCCGAGAATACACACGGAAAGGACGAACGCACTATCAAACTGGTAGTACTCGGTATGTATTGAAATACTATTAAATTAAATCATATTCAAACCTAATTAACCCATGGGTAACACTCACAGAGGTTCCGGGCCCTCCCATGAATGTGCACGTGAAGGAGGTCTGGTCGCGAACGGCGAGCATCGTGTGGTCGGCCCCCTATTCGGGTAACTCTCCGCTCACTAAATACACGATACAGTATTGGAGACATCAAAGCGCACCGCACAGACTGCACGAGTTTGTCGTCAGTAACTCGCAGACCACGGCGTTGATCAAAGACCTGAGCCCTGGCCTGTCCTACGAGATGACAGTCGTGGGCGAGAACGAGGTCGGGAGGGGAGAGGCGGCCGACACCGTCACGTTTGTCACCGGCGAAGAGGAGCCGTCGGCGCATTTAGACCATTTGAACTCCAGAGGAAGGGATCCCTTCTGTATGGAGCAAAGTATGCGAAATTTGTCGCCTTCTGATAGGCTTTGATTTGGTATATAAGACAACTTCGGGGCTAAAAAATGGTTACATTGTATTTAAATAATACGAATATCAATTTCAATTAATCGCATACCTATTCCCGCGAATATAAACCCAATATTAACCAAAAATAGTATTAATTTGATAAATAAACACATTTTTGTATGAAATAATGGCTGACAATATATTTGATGATTACTTCACTCCAAGAACTAATAGATTGGACACACATTGCGCCACATTTTGCCGCAGATTTCATACATTTAAAGTTTTTAAAAATACTTTAACTTTAAGTACAACTCGAGAAAGTGATCCACAATTTTGTACAATACTTTTGGCAAAAAAATAAAACTTACATTTTATAAATCCATAAATAAATATTAAGTAAAAATTTTTAATATAATTAATTAATAATTAAATATAATATAATTAAATAATAAAAGTATATTTAAATTGAAAACTATTAAAACAATCAAACCTTTGACATAAAGAATAGTGGTTTGAATATCAGAACCGAAAGCATTGCTCGCAATACACGAATAGTTTCCGAAATCATTTGTTTGGATATCTCTTAACACCAAATATGAAGAATCGTCTAAAACATCGATTCTGTGATTCAACTGTGGATTAGTGTCTAATTGTAGACCATTTTTAATCCACTTATAATACAGTGGTTTAGTGCCGGAAATTGTTTGACACATAAACCTAAACGACGAGCCTTTGGTTAAATCAATCTTTGTGTGAAAGGCATATATTTTGGGCGCTTCTGATAGCCATATGAATACAGGGTATGAATTAGTGATCAATTATTAAATCTCATTGTCTCTCATCATACATACCATTACAAGAGATTGAATGATAATTAACGCAAATTAACACAAATGATATCAATTTAATAAATTTCATGTTTTTTGTGGGTTTGTATATCACTTGTATGTCTCGACTCAACGGCACATACAGAGGATGTAAACAAATAATTATCTCAAAAATCAGGACAAACTCAATGATGAAGAAGAGGACTACTGTTAGTGACACATAAAGCGCCACATTTTGTATGAGAAATAATTTGATATCTATTGGCGAAGCGATTCAAACCATTCATCCATTCATTCACATGAGAAACATGTTTAAAAGTCTTTTGCCTTTAATAAAGTTAGGCTTAATCTCTATTTTCTGATACATTTAACGCATTAAAGTCTATTTAAGCGCATGTAATGCATAAGTATGTAACAACTGGATGGACAGGTGGTGACCCTATTTATGGCCATTTAAATCAGGTTTTAAATGCAAAATTCAGTCATTCATTATCATTGATAAGTAGTGAAAGTCTCTCTCTCTCTCTCTCTCATTTCATATTCACGATGTCTTCGGAGTGTTTGCATATATTATGTGTTTTGTTGTGTTTTGCCATACAATCAATCTTTGTGTGAAAGGCATATATTTTGGGCGCTTCTGATAGCCATATGAATACAGGGTATGAATTAGTGATCAATTATTAAATCTCATTGTCTCTCATCATACATACCATTACAAGAGATTGACTGATAATTCACGCAAATTAACACAAATGATATCAATTTAATAAATTTCATGTTTTTTGTGGGTTTGTATATCACTTGTATGTCTCGACTCGACGGCACATACAGAGGATGTAAACAAATAATTATCTCAAAAATCAGGACAAACTCAATGATGAAGAAGAGGACTGCTGTTAGTGACACATAAAGCGCCACATTTTGTATGAGAAATAATTTGATATCTATTGGCGAAGCGATTCAAACCATTCATCCATTCATTCACATAAGAAACAGTTTAAAAGTCTTTTGCCTTTAATAAAGTTAGGCTTAATCTCTATTTTCTGATACATTTAACGCATTAAAGTCTATTTAAGTGCATGTAATGCATAAGTATGTAACAACTGGATGGACAGGTGGTGACCCTATTTATGGCCATTTAAATCAGGTTTTAAATGCAAAATTCAGTCATTCATTATCATTGATAAGTAGTGAAAGTCTCTCTCTCTCTCTCTCTCTTTTCATATTCACGATGTCTTCGGAGTGTTTGCATATATTATGTGTTTTGTTGTGTTTTGCCATAC